AAGTGAGAAGAATGAAAATCTGTGTACTTATTAGTTTTCAAAGCTTCTGTATTTCACAACGGGCATTGTAATGACACTATCAATGAGACTTGCCCATCTTTTTCTTACTTTAGTTAAAACATGAAGCTATGGCTTAAGTGAATTTGCCAAATGAAAAGAAAAAGCCTTCTTCATCCACTTCCCCTGTCAGTTTGGATCCAGCTACTGATAAAATTGGACCCAGAGCCACTGACGGTACAACATCCTTTGACCAAAGTGCAGAATCAGAAGCTGTTTCCGAAGATACACAAATGCCTATCGTTTTGGCTGGGCCATCAACTTCTGGCGAGAAAGTCATAAACATCCTCTCACCCTTGTCATCTGTTACAATATCTACAATTCAGGAGTCTGAGGAGCCCACTCCAGACAATTCGCCAGTGTTTTGTACAGCCTCATCCTCTGTGCGTACTAGTACTAACAGCTGTAAAGGATGCTAACACAAAGAGTACCAAAGAGCAATGCATGCAAAGAAACGGCTAAAGAACAAAGTGAAAAGTCTTAAAAAGGAGCTCTCTGCATTAAAGGACACCATTACTGAACTTCAGAGTTTGTTTTACTAAGTTTCCTACCATATTTCATCATTTTCAATAACTTGAAGTAATGTAAAATAATGTAACCTTTACTTGGTTTTTATTTTGTGCATGGCTGAAAAAGAAACAGAGGACGAAGAAGGAGAATGTGCACAGCCAAGTTCAAGCTCTGCAAGTGAGAGGACTTTACGTGGTTAAAACTACTGTACGGGTACTTGGTCAAGCACTGGAGAGGAAGAGAAGGATGGTGACGCCTCACAAATTGAAAAAAACCTTCAAACTTGCAAACGTTACTAAGAGGTAAACAACAAGGCTTCTGATATTGCTTGTAGAGCTGAACTTGGTCACTTTCCTTTTATTGGCAAACATTTTAAGAAATTTATAATGTGCTCTTAATATCTTATAATCTGGTTCGAACCCCCGGAATGTAATGCATGTTTTTTGGAATTTTCAATCGCATGAAACTTTTCAAATTGAGAAACTGGCCAAACAACGGCTGTTTATGACCTTCATTTTGACACGAGATGAGTAGCACAATCACCACGCCATAATCACCAAATTATCTACTTCACATTTTTAGACCTCAATATCTCGCTTGATATTTGCCATTTTTTATTGAAACTTTCAATATTTATACCTTAAAGGCTGTTCTTTAGAATGGGTTTGAAACATTGCTACCTTGGGCTTTATGCGAATTAAGAAAATTTTAACTTTTTAATAAAAACAGTACAATTCAATTGTAACGCGTAACAGTTATGGCGGCGTAATCGCCAGTGCATTTTACTTTTGGTTCGATGTTCTTGCCTCACGGTGATAACTGCGGTTGGAACGCTTATAAATAGCAAATTTGAAGACACAATAAATACACTGTTTAAGTTTGAATGAATGTGGTTTATTCTTTGTAATATACACAGAGACTTAAAAACGACCAGTATGTTGTGCGTGTACTTGTAACGCTTGCAGGTTTTGAAGCAACAAGTGAATGTAAAATCAAATTTATCTCGGCTTGATTTCCACGCACACAGATACTAATTATGCCGGAATGATGGGCAATGTTTACACTCTTTACAGTCCAAGTCTGCACTCAATCTGTTGCCCAGAAAAACTCCACGATTAAAAAATAAAATTCGGAAACAGTCTGTGTAACGGTTAAGATGAGAAGAAATCAATGGGACCTACACGAAGAATCCGGAAAATAAAATTTCCATCCGAAGGAAGCGAGTACTCACTGTGAGTCCACCGTGATGGGCCTGTGTTTACCCATTACTTCCCAAGAATTCAGGTCTTTCTGCATCATCTAAAGCGAGATATTCGACTTTTTGCAATTCGGAAACACTTTCCGCCATTACCGCTGTGTTCATAAAGCGTAATGAAGAAGATGCGCTGAGGAAAACGACCGAAATCAGGTCTAAAACCATGTAGCTTTTTCACGATAATCGCTTCTTGCTCGAGAGAAGAGTTCGACTTACGTGTTTATAACAAAAAACGGGGGCTTAGAGGGAAAGCAGGGGCAATGATGTAATCCTTGAGAATAAAAATAGCAAAACTTCTGAGTACGCGTAACAACACGTGTGGAGTTATTCGCTCGGAACAGAAACAAAAGATCAAGAGTTTGAATGGAAAAAAAAAAAGATATTAATGCCACACCACTTTCACGGAAGAAAGCAGCCCAAGAAAGGAAAAAAGAAGAGAAAAAGAGAGCTAGACAGGGCATACTACCTGCAGAACCGTGAAAAGAAAATTGCTCAATTTGTGGAACGTGGCGGCGCGAAAAGGAGAGTTGTCAAAAAGGCCAGCGCGAACAAGGACCGAAACAAAGAAAACAGAGCGGAAAGAAAAGGTAAAGAAACAGCGAGAACTTTCCCGAGAAAAGCTTGAACAGAAAAGAAAGAAAATACGGCAACAAACCAGGAAAGGGGTCCGTAAATATCGCGAAAAGAAAATTACAGAACGGAGAAGAGCAAACAACGGAAGAGACAACGGCTTCAGGCGTGGGCGACGGATTCCAAAACTGGACGTCAAAGAAACGTGCAACTGATAAGGTTAAGGAAACGCTTCCATCAACCCCTAAGAAAAAAGCTGAAGTAATTGAAACACTAGCTAGCAGCCCAAGGACAAGAAACGCTGACGAAACGTGGTTTAATAAGATACCGGAGGAGCAGAAAGAAATTTCCACCCTAAGAGCTCTGGCATCCGACATCTCAGGGGGTTAAACGTGGTGAAGCACTCGGGATCTACTGAAAAAAGAGCAGCTTTTAGAGCTTTTACTTCCCTAGCGTTTGGAGAAAACATAAAAAAGACAAGGTCACGGAAATCTTTAGGAAAATTAGTCAACATCAATGAAAAAAGCATAAGTAAGGCGATAAAGACCCGCGAAAGCATTCTGAAAGGAGATTTAGCAAGTTGGCTGTACACTAAAAGAAAATTGCGCCAAGATGCCATTGCAGAAGAAGACAGCAAAAAAATCTTCAACTTCTGGGCAAATAACGCTAGCAGGCCGACAGGAGACAAAAAAGATGTTGTGAAAAAACGCACTGGCAAGCAGCAGTATGTACATCACGCAAAGCACGTGTTAGAAAAAACGCAGACTGAAGCATTTCTTGAATTTCAGCAGTCACACCCAGAAGTGAAAGTGAAGCAGAGGAAGTTTGAAAGCCTTAAACCGTTTTTTGTGAAACAAGCTACTGAGAGAGATAGGAGATCATGCCTCTGCCGAAAACATGTTGAAACGAAAATTGTATTTGATGCCTGCATGAAGTTTCGCAAAGGAACTGGCAAAGAAACAGACAACGATGGCGAGTACCCTGTCCTGAAGACCCTGACAGAACTGGTTGAAAAGACCCTGTGTCCCAAAGAAGAAGGCAAAATGTTTCACAACATTAAATGCCTAGAGAGAGAGTGCGTCCTGTGGAGTTGAAACGTTGCAACTGTTGCTGGAGGAAACATCTTCTGAAGGTTCTGTGCGCTGGTCCCGCTTATGACTACGCCTCAACTGGAAAGTTTCTAGCAAATGGTCAAGAAAAGAAGAAGATAGCCCTTGTCCAAAAGGAGACCTCACCATCTGAACTCTTTAAGTATTTTAAAGAGCTCCTTGGCTCCTACCCATACCATTCATTTATGGCAAGATGGCAACGTGATCAGCTCGACAACCTGCTAGAAAACCTTCCACTTGGGCATGTAGTCTGTGTGCATGATTACTCTGAAGGATATGCATGCAGGCAACAAGATGAAACCCAGTCAGAGTATTTTGACGTTGCCAAGGTTTCTCTTCATGTTACGATCCTTCACCGACATGCTACAGAAGCTAAAGATGGAGTGACAAGTACAGAAGAGGAACCGCACCTGATTAAAGAACATCTTTTTGTAATCTCTGACGACCCAGTTCAAGATCAGGACAGTGTCCACAAGGTGCAAAACCTTATCCACAGCTACCTTGCTAATGATGTTGGTTGCAACATCATCAAGATGCACGAAGTTTACTGATGGTTGTGCGCCCAGTACAAATCCCGACACTGTATTGGCGACCTATCTTGCTCCCTCGCTGACTTTGGCTTTCACGTTGTCCGCAATTATTTTGAAACCTCCCATGCTAAAGGAGAGCAAGATGCTGCAGGTTCACATGTTAAGCAGAAAGTTAGTCAAGCAGTCCTGCGCAGAACAACTACTATCAAGTCTGCAAAAAGCATGCATGAGTACTTGGAGCAGAATTTCACCCAGCGTGCTGCCTCAAGCTTTAATGCAAGAGCCAATGCTGTTCAGCTGAAGCGTCGTGTCTTCTTCTATGTTCCTGCTGAAGGTGAAGGTGCAGTTGACAGAAACAGGCAAGGAAGAAAGTTTAAGGAAGCTAGAGGGATAAGGAAATGGCATTGTGTGAAGTCTTTACCCCAGCAAGAAAAGGTTTTGGTGAGGTACAGGTCCTGCTACTGTGACAACTGTATTGTTGAGGATGAGGAGAACTGTGCTAACAAGGCTTGGCTGGATGACTGGAAAGAGGTCTCAATCTGCAGAGATGGTTCAGTGGCAGTTACAAGGCAAGCAACAGAAACTAGCATCCTTGACCATGACACTGCAGGCCACATAGCAGACCTTGCTGTGAAGGGGAGCACTGTAGCAATTGCTGCTGATGATGACCCGATGTATGATTTCTTTCTCCTGAAGGTCACATCTGAAGGGGTTAAAGAGCTTGACAGTGACTATACTGATGACTACAACTTTACAGCTTTGAAGGATCAGCAAGTTTTAAAAGGAAACTTTTACCTCAGGGACAACATACACGACATGACATTCACCCTAGATGAGAAACGTACCGCTGTTGTGTATGCTGCCACTGTACGCCACATTTGCAGAGAACTGCCAGGAAAGAAAAAGGGCAGAAAAACAATATACAAACTTCCTTTGAAGGAAAATGAAGAGATAATTGCCTCTCTTTGAACTAAGTGAACATATATTACAAAGTTACCTTCATTTTGTATCTTTTTTTTTGGCTTTCTTCATCAATTTCTTAAACATTGCTTTACCTGCCACGCCCACATTGCATTATGGGTAAATTAAAATTTGCTTAATCAGCAGGAAAAATGTAAAAACTGAAAAAATATTGATTGATTAGTGCAACAGACATGAAAAGCCACTGATTTATGAATTGAAATGTTTAAAATATATGACTTCATTATTTTGACCTGTGTTACAGAAAATGTAGTGGTGACTGTGCTACTCATCACTATTGAACCTCAGAATAATGAGACTTTTCAAATCTCCCCATTTCGCAAATTGAGAAACTGGCCAAACAACCGCTGCATCAAGGATTGCTCACAACAAAGAGCAAACCCAATTCTGGAAGGATCAATAACTAATGAGGTAAGACAACAGATTACACCTGTTGTTTACAAAGACTACCTATCTCAATTGGTCTTAGTTTTTCAGAAGGGTGTGTAACGGACCATACAGCCAACTGGAAATTAGTTGCTACTGATCCAGTTATTCTTGATTCCATAAACCATTACCATATAGACTTTGAGGGTGGCTGTAGGCCTTTACAGGCTGATGAGCCAAAACAAATCACTTTTTATTGGGGGGAAAATAGATCATTGATGGGAACACTGCAAAATTCCTCTCCAAAGGAGTTATGGAACAATCTGAGCATCCATCATTAAAAATAATATCTGTTATCATCATTGGGCTTTCAAGAGACTACTGCAACGCCAAATTAAGTTTTTTTCCTTAGTGCAAGCATCCCAAACCCCCCAAATGCCAAACAATTCTGGTTTTAATTAACGCTTTAGTGGTTTTTCCTTGAAAAGAAAAGCTTTTTTAGCTTAATTTTGCAGCTGTTTCTCGAAGAGGATTAAGCGCTGTTTAATTTCTCAATTTTTAACGAACATTCTTCCTTTTTACTTGGATATTTTACATTATTAAGTCATACTTGATTATAAGAGTGGCAAAAGGAGTCACATTCCTAGAGATAACACAGACTGTAAAGCCATTAAACAACTTGCTTTGAAGCAAAATGGATATGCCATAAATGCCTTATAATCAAAACCAACTGTGAGGGATGCATTGCTCCAGAGAGTCTGCAGTATCAATGACGCATGTGAGGAGTTGTGTCCCACCAAGAGCCCATCTGTTTTTACGGGATGTGTCTCCACTGGGACTGAAGCAGTTTGCAGAAACTAATCATGTAGCTGAACTTGCCAACCGAGCTCTTTGTGTTCTATGCTGTCTTGTCTTCTGCAGTTGGAAAAAATCCTTCAATGAAAGAAAACTTTGCTGATGTCTAAGAGCCCAACACAACAGCGAACACGCCAAAATTGTAGCACCAATCAGCATGGCCACCCCCATTTTTCTGAAGTCGAGATGCCCTAAAATGAGTGCACAAGCTTACAGGCTTCAACGGTTTTATGGCATAGTGGAGAAAAGAAAAAGGTCAGTTAATCAACATTAATTGATTTCATAGAAACCAAAAGGGAAATCTGTCAACTTACATGTAGGAGACTATTCTTATTTTGTACTTCATATCTTCATTTGAGCAAACACACATCCATATTTTCCCTTGTTGATGAGGGGAATTTTATTATACAATAGGCTATCTGCTTTTGACACTTAACTAAAATATCATTTCAATTATTACACCTATATTGCCTCTTATTCAAGTCCATTATAATGAGAAAAACGTCTTTCCTCATTTTCCTACAGTCAATGGTAAAAAAATTAAGACTTTAATTGTTTTTTTAATATTTTTTTTTTTCAGAAGCAGAAGTGGTCAATTTACCATAATTCTTTCACTCCTTGTAAAGGTTTGTGACCGTCGAAAAAATGGGGACTTGCCATGAGCCACACTGCTACTATTGACAAAGTGGAACAGCTTGGAAAGTATTATGTTGAAAGATTGTAAAGTGGAAAGCTGAACAAGAAAGACAAAAAAATTCAGATGACCCTGGAAACTATATTGGAATGTATAGAAGAAAGCACAGCTCCCATGTGTGGTGATTGACTGAAGGCGTAGGTTAAAGATTGACTACACACCAATTTCAATGAAACTGTCTGATGATTTGTCCAAACAGTTGTCAAATACTCTAACAGGCCCAGTGGTTATCAAATCTTTGGAAACCATGTAGATCTTATGATAAAAGTCCGTCATCAGGCCAGTGACAGGCCACACAAGAGCATCCGCTGGTACCACTCCAAGAGACATTATTTGCGGGAATCCCAAGAGCATAGGAGAACAGAGTTCATGCAAGAAACAATCATGTTGTAATTTTCTTTGTATAAAAGAAGTTAAAATTCGCATTTAGCGACATAGTAGTAGAGCGAGAGGCAACACTGAAAAACCGACTTTACTTCCAGCTAACAGCCTACTGAAAAAATGAAGAAACCGTGAAGAAAAAAAAACGAATATACAAAGCTTCTCGCTCGCACAAATCAACAACAACAGCTGTGAAATATCAGTCTTGACTGTAACTTCTGAATAGATGGCAGAGTTAGGCGCGATAAGAAGACTGATTGGCCCAAGGAAAATACATGTCACCATTACCCTTGATGTAGCAAGAGATAAAAGGATGACCTATCAATGGTGATCTAGAACAACTTTTGGATGAAACCCATGACAAGCGACATCAGCTGTAGCAGCACCTGAGTATCAAAACCTTCACCTACAGCTGGAGGATGCTACTCAAACTGCAGAAAAACAGAATAAAGTAGGTTATGAAAGATTATGAGGCATTCACTAATCTAGCGTTTGATGCAGGGCAACTCCTTGTAGGATTAAGCTCAAAAATGGAAATGATAAAGGATCGAATGGAATTCAAATTCAAATGAGGCACCATTTAAGTGAACTATGAACTGCGTCAGAAGATGAAAGAGATAGAACAACAAAAGAAAGTAAGTCTGGAGATGATACGAGAAATTCGAATCAAACTGCTCCAACCGAATTCCACTTGTGTAGTATGCACAGGCATTGCAGATTCTGATGAACACAGTAAACGTCTAGGCTACAAATCGAAACATCTCCAAATGTGGGAAAGGGCATTTACACGGATGGACAGTGACATTTTTCAAGAGTTTTGGGAAGCACTCAGAACCTATCTCTTCAAAATCACCAACAACCTAGTAAACAAACCTTTGCATGTAGCTTTAACTTTCTCTATGCCCCAGACATCTGCCCACACTGATTTTGTGGTCTGATTTACCTCCAACCCCAGCGGTTTTCTGTTACCACCTTAACAGACTCAGAGATCTCCTGCTCGGTTTCCCTGCTCAGTATCTCTCAGTTAGCTTTGTGGTTATGACTTTGAAAGCTTATTTAGATGCTTCGGGTTATTTGCTTCTGTCACAAACAGTAAAGGTTTATCCACCCTGGTCACAACCCTTGCTCATGGACGATTTGTCTGCAGTTTTCTATAATGAACACCAAGCTTTAGGGAACGAATGATCCCGCCGAACAAATTGAGCAATGGCTTTGTGCTGAAAAGCTTTACTTTACAAAAGTAGAAGGTTGTTGTCCTGCCTCAATTTCACTGAGCGATGCTGTGTTTACGTGTAAAGGGATGGCAGATCAGGATTGGGAGTACCTTGGAGTAGATTTCTGGGAATTATTTGGCAAATTAAAAAAAGTTCTTGAACACAAATTAAAGGAGCTCAAAGGCAACAAAGACGATTATTCTCCAGACATAGAAGCTTCTATGAGAACATTTGATTTCATAATGGATGCATTGAAAAGCCTATCTGAGGAATACATTGAGGCAGTGATAGACAATCCGACTATCAAAGAGAAATAGATTCCAATGTGGTGATTGCCCATGAATCTGTTTGCTCCTCTGCTGGGTCCTCAAGATGTTATTGACCTTAATTCCTGCCATGCATCATCATCAGAGTTGTATGGTAAAGAACCATCAAAGTTAAGCATTTTTTAGTAGGCGCAGGAACATGAAGTAAAATTCGTTCACGTCATTAATAAAGTTTGATTCGTCAGGTGTCTTTTCTTCTAGTTTTATGGTGCTGCATTAAGTCTTTTCATATTTGCCCATCACAGCAAGTAATGAATAAAATAGACCCTTTTTTCTCAAGGGAAGGAAACAAAGAGTATAGAACAAGAAACAGCAACACAATCAAGAAACAAAACGAGTATGTAAATCATTAAAGAATTAATTGTGGCTAAGAAAGAAAATACTTCCTTGAGTCTTCAAACGATTGGAATTTCTTGAATTTTGCGAATGTAACTGGCTTGTAGGAATAAATATATTACACTAGTAATTAGGAAGTAAACCTTTTTTAAAAAATACCAATTTAAATAGGATTGCACCTAAGATAAGCATAAGTTACTGCATATTATTTACAGTAACATTAATGTGCATAGCATTGTATACATTTTTAATCTGTATGTAGATCTTGTTACTGTGTCATGCACTTTATGAATACAGGAAAGGAACTAAGGTTAGCCTCTTGAAATCTCCTGTTATGGATTAAATATGACTTGAGGCAACCAGCCCTTGGAGAGCGCCACACCCATTGCATCAGATGTGTCCTATTTACTTGAGCCCTACCATTGGTGACAATGAGTCAACCTGATAACTTGATGATACCCCTTGAATGGTTTTTTAATATCACATTACCCAGGGGAGGGGCATTTGGTGCAGGTCTTATGAGCAAACGCAAAAGAAGAGGGTTTTATTGTATTTTCGTATTCGCATCGTGCTTGCTTGTAATGCTATGTTTTTATCGCTTTCTTACAGTTTTCGTTACCGCATTATCGCATCATATGATCACATTACGGCTTCGCTCACAGCTTCTGAATCAGCTATTTGTAAGGAAAGTCAGTGGTATGAATCAAGAGTGCGTGTAAATGAATTTCTGTGGATACTTCGAGTAAACCGAGTTGTTGTTTGTACGTTTACGGCTCATTGAAAGGTCAGTGTGGCAGTTCTGCTGCCACGAAAACT